AGATCACAGAATCATAGAATGGTTGGATTGGAAGGGACCTTGGAGATCACAGAATCATAGAATGGTTGGATTGGAAGGGACCTTGAAGATCACAGGGACATAGAATGGTTGGGTTGGAAGGGGCCCCAAAGCCCCCCTCCAGCCCCATCCCTGTTACAGGCTGGGTGCTCCCCACCTGCTCAGGCTGCCCAGGCCCCATCCATGGCCTTGGACACCTCCCATGATGGTGCTGTGTCCCCAGCTCTTGTGCTCTCCCTGTAAGCCAGGAATTGTCAGTAAATCCCATGCCAACGTCTTCATGCTGCAGCTTGCACACCTGGACCTGCTCACTTGTGATCTGGCTGCAAAACTATCCTGCATTTTTATGCAGGAAACTATCCTGGATTTCGTCTTTAGAGTGCTGCAGACCCAGAGTAGCATCACTGAAAATCCCTGGATTCGGTGCATGGTTACACCAGTTGAAGTAAGAACATGTTTACCCCAGTAAAGCCCAACCAAAGCATAAAATTCATCTGTTGAGGCCCAGCAGCCAAGTGCTGGCTGCAGGCAGTGCCCTTTAATCCAAAGTCTCCTCTGGACTTCTCCTTTGAGTGCAGGCACGTGAGCATCTGCAGTGTCCCTGGGAAATGTTTCCTTGTAAAGCCTTTGTGAACTCGTGCATGTGTTGATGCCACAGTTACCACGCGTGTAATTTAGGCTGACATCGTAATGACAGCATGGCGAGTTCAAAATGGAGCAGTAAATATAGTTGTTAGGGGGAAAAAAACAAAAAGATCCCTGCCCATCGTCCCGAATGCCTCCTCACGTCATGGGAAGGTGCAGATGGAGTCCAAACACCATCAGCAATTCTGGGTCCCAGCTGGAAGCTGCCCGGAGTCCAGGGCAGGCAAAGCAAATAGGCAAGAGCAGCTCTCTTTGTGGGGCAGAGCTCTCTTTGCAGATCAGAGCTTTTTCTCCTGATCTCCCTTCTTTTTGGGGGGGAGCATCCTGTACCCCCCCATCTCCTGGAACCAGCTGAACAATTAACCCTATTGACTGCCTGCTGTTTCTCCATGTGCTCAAGCTGTCTAACAGATCTTTTCTTCGGCTTTTTTTTTCCAGGTTAAACCCTGTGTTTCCCACTGGCTGTGGCTGCATTCACCATTCTGGGCCTTGCTGACACGCACACGTCTGCAGGACTGGGACAATTAATTCAGCTGCTTTTCAGCTTTCCAGCAGGTTGGTACCAGGAAACCTGGGGCTCTGCTTGCAGGAGGAGCTGAGACACAAATAAGGTCTGAATGTGACCCCTAATCTGTAGTCAAATTGCTCCATACCTTGAGAGATGGATCATATTGTCCCCTGCAGACAGGAAGCTGTCTTTGGATATGCAGTGCCTGGCCACACGGTGAGGTTATGCTCGTCTGTTACCTCTGGTCTTCAGAGAGCTCATTAGCTGCTGGGTTCACATAGCAGAAGACTGGATGAAAGCACTGTCTCCTTCCCCATCTGTCCTTGCGGCAGATTCATGTTTGCTTTGCAAACGTTCAGCTCTGGGGTTGGGGATCTGTGTGCCTCAGAGATACACGTGGGCAGGAAGAGTGATGCAGAGAAGTGTGGCTCTGCAGGAAAATGGTCATAGAATCACAAAATGGTTGGGTTGGAAGGGACCTTGAAGATCATGGAGCCATAGAATGGTTCGGTTAGAAGCCACCTTGAAGATCACAAAGCCATGGTTTGGCTAGAAGCGACCCTGAAGATCACAGAATCATAGAACAGTTGGGTTGGAAAGGACCTTGAAGATCACAGAACCATGGAATGGTTGGGTTGGAAGGGATTGAGCGTGACTGGGAGGACACTCATATGGCTAGAAACGGGGTGGATTTCATCCCGAAGATGTTCTCTCCTTTTTGCTTTGGGGTTTGCCATCAGCTTCGTAGGCATTCTCTTTTGGGAAGGTGACAGTATGACAGGGTAGGCTGAGAAATAGCCACAAGGGTAGGACCACATCAACAAGACCATCATGCTGAAGAGTTAAGTTAGAGGTGGTGCTGTAGCCGTCAAACTGGCCCAAATTATCCCGGGTTAAATTACTGTGGGAAGGCACTGGCATCTTTTAGGGGGTCTGCTGTGTGGGGCTGGGTGCTTCACCACACAATGCTATGAAATTTTTGCCCCACGGTGGGGTTGGCCATGGGAGCATAGGCTGAAGCCAGGACCCTATCTGAAGTTATGACTTTAAATTGTACCAGGGGAGGTTCAAGTTGGATATTAGGAGCAATTTCTTCTCCAGAGTGATCAGGCGCTGGCACAGTCTGCACAGGGAGATAGATGGTGGATTCCCCATCCCTGGAGGTGTTCCAGAACTGTGGAGATGTGGCACTGAAGGACGTGGGCATGGTGGGGTGGAGTTGGGCTTTGGGAACTCTGGGGTCCTTCTCCAACCTCCACGATTCTGTGATTCCGTGATTCTGTGATTCTGTGATTCTGCTCCTGATGCAGAGAACCGAGCAGAGTTCCTGCAGGCTGCATTGCTGCTCTGCAGAGGCACCTTGCAGGAACAAATCTGTGCAAAGCCACTTCTGCTCTCCGCTGCGTGTCCCTGTGGGAGCTGCTCTGCACTGGCCGTACCGGGAACATCCGTACGCTTAGAGCTAAGGGCTTCGACAGCAATTAGAAGTGAAGCAGGAAAAATCATGTTTTCGGAGGAAAATATCCCCCCCCCCCCTTCCCCCGCGTGAGGTGAAGCCGTCAATCTCCATGCTGGAGCCTGCCCATACCTGCTGCCAGCCGGCCCCATCCCGCTCCAGCGCCGCTGCGGCTCCGCTCCTCTCTGCGTTCCTGCGCCCCACACCCAGCACCAAAATAGCGATTCCCCCCCGCCCCCCCACCCCCCCCCCCCCGTGACTCAGGCGGGCAGCAGCACCACGCACATCTGCTTCTCATTCCGTGTGCTCTGACCCTTTTATTTATACTCCCCGAGCCCTTCCTTTGGCATTTCTCTCTCGGGATGGGGAAGAAAACAGGGAGCGGCTCCCAAGGCTTCCCTCTCCTTTCCTCAGCTTGTTTGGGACCCCCGGCTGGACCCTCCCAGCTCTATGGGTGTATTTATTGCATTAAGGCTGTGCCCGGCGCCTTGCCCAGTCCATTGCAATCTGTCCACCCGGAAGGCCAGCAGCCAAACCAGTTTTCCATGGTTGAGTCGGGCACATTTTCCATCGTGTTTTTTGTCAGGAAGCAAACCCACCCAATGCGTGCGCCGCTCAATGGGAGCCTTTTTTTTTTTTGGTGTGTGTGTGTGTGGAGTATTTTTTTTTTCGTCGTTGTTGTTGTAATTCCTTTTCCTCTTTCTGGCTGTGGCAAGGAATGGAGGGGCTGCCCCAGGGTGAGCCCAGGAGAGCTCAGAATGGGAGGAAATGTGGGGTTTTTTTTTGCTTTTTTTGAGGCCATACACACCGGAGGTGGCATCAAGGTGGGGATGGAGGAGAGCAGCCAAAAACACATGGGCTGAAATGCCGCCATCACCATCACTCACTCCATGAGACCCCAACCAGGCACTGTAGAGGTGCTGAAGAACCTGGTTGAATGACTCAAGGTTCATCCTGGTGGGACACGTGAGGATTTTCCTCCTGTTCTCTCATTTTCTCTCCTTTGGGATTATTATTATTATTATTTTTGCATGGGATGAGTGAGTTCCCATTTGAGTGGAGTGGTTGCACGGGATGAATGGAAAGTCAGCTGCATTATGCTTGATGTGCTTTGCTCCCCTCAGAGGATTTATGTGCATGCAGACCTGTAGGTGCGTGTGTGTTCATGTAGATCTACACCCCGCTGGCAGAGGAAGTGGAGATGTGCAGACACCTGGATCGTGTGCTGTTTTGGTGACACCACGCTCAGAAGTGTTCTGAACACCCAGGTGTGTCCAGGAGAGCACCAGGGCTCGAGTAGAGCCCTGCAGAAAGGATCCTTGCTGGGCTTGAGCACCTCCAGCAATGCAGCATGTCCCAAAAACCAGCAGAGGGAAGCAAAAGGGATGCAGGGCACTCTAGCCTCCAACCAGCCCCAGCCTCATTACCCAGGAAGCTGTTTCATTAAAAAGAAGAAATGTTTGACAACGAAGGCAGCAAGGACTGGAATCAGTTGCCCAAAGGAGTTGTGGATGCCCCATCCTTGGAAGTTCAAAGTTGGTTGGATGGGTTTTTGGGCAACCTGATCTGGTGAGAGGAGTTCCTGCCTGTGGTAGGGTTTGGAATTAGATGGGCTTTAAGGTCCCTTCCAACCCAAACCATGCTGTGATCCCATGATGGGGGTCATGAGTTGGATCAGAATGACTTTAAGGTCTCTTCCAACAGAAACCATGCATCCATGTTGGATGCAGCCACCCCACGCTCGCTCCCATAGCTTTTCCCACACTGTGGTTAATTCGTTCACCCCAGCCCTGTGAGTTGGTGCAGCCCTCAAAGCACCAACCAGAGCAGGGCTGTGCCTTCCGTACAGCTCCAGTAATTATGTTAATTTGCCTGCTCAGGCTCTTTTATCACTAGGATCCCCGTTTGCCAAAACCTGCTCAGCACAAGAGATGGCCCCGTAATATGGCATTCGGTTTTAATCCAGCTGCTGCCCACAGCGAGCCACAGTTCCTGATTTTGGAGATTTATATGAACTCTAAAACTGGAAAGCGTGCTGGGTAATTTCAAGAAGCCAGAAAGAAAAAACACAGTCCTTCAATTATAGGAAGCAGTGAGCTGAGCTCTGTTCTTGCCAGAGCTCCTGTTTGCTTTTATCTGGGACCCCAAAAATGTTTTCAGCAGCCACGTTGCATTGGTCCCACCGTGTGTGGGGCTGCTGGGTGCAACCTGGGATCCACTGAGTATTCAAACCCCAAGCTTTGTCCTGGAGCCCAGGAGCTGGATGTGAAGTGGTGCTCAGGTTGGGGTGGGACCTTGGTGCCAGTGTGGGGATGCTGGGGCTTTCAGGCCGGTTTGAGGATGGTGCTAGAGGAAATAACAAGAAATCTCACAGTCTGACTTATGTCCCCAAGTGTTTGGGGCTGTTGCAGCTGATGGCAACCAGATCCTACAGAAGGTCATCAAGTCTGACTCTTGTTTTCTGTATGGGTCCTGGAAATGGGAAAGAATGGCTGTTAATAGAACAGAGAAGTGCTAAATTACGACGCTGCCAGGACTGATGGGCTGGAAGGGGTTCTCCAACCCCTTTTACTTTGGATTCCCTGATGGGACTTCACGTGAATTTTGCTTTTGGATGAATCATGAAATCACTGAGGTTGGAGAAGATCCCAAGATACTAAGGAGTGTGTGTAGGGTCCCTGCAGGCTCAGCGTGCCAAGGAGATGGCAGCTGTTAATAAGGGTAAATCCTGGTGTGCCCAAGAATTTCATTCCAAGTGTTGATACTTGGAAAATCCGATTAGTATTGGAGAGCTACCATGCTAGAGTCCACCCATGTGATCTCAATCCCTGAAGCATTATTTCTGCCTCTAAACCCCGTCCCCCTTCCCAGCAGCAGCCCACAGTGCCCCCTCCCCTCCTCGCTCTGAGCATCCTCCTCGTCAGCATGACCCTGTTTGCATCCTTCCTCACACAAAAGCATCACCTTGGAAACCTCTGCCCTTGTCTACCTTGCCTAGATCTAAGCAAAAGCACCTTTCTTTTCTTTCTTTCTTTTTTTTTTTTTTTTTTTTGGAGAGGGGGAAGGGAGTTTGGGGTGGAGAATCCTATTATGAGCCATTTTCCTGGCTCAGCCTCGCTGTCCCAGGGCAGGATTTGTCCCAGAGGCAACGCCGCTCCCCATCAGCTGGCAATATTTCCGTTCAACTGCTCCCCTCCCACCGCACCCCTGGGCCTGCCGTCCATCATCCCCATGAGAAATCCGATGATTCCCCTGCAGGGAGGCAGCAGTGGGTGCTCAGCACCGCGGCAGAGCGATGGAGGTGAAGCCCCACCTTCCAGCCGCAGGGAGAAGCGCTGGGTACGAAGGCGGGTGGTTAATCACACCTTGTGCCAGAGACAAGATGTTCGGCGGGGAGGCGTGCTTAGGGAAATACCTGCCTTCTTGGTTTTTACATCCTCCAGCCCTTCAACGTGATCCCAGCACTCACTCTGAGCCTCTGAGGATGGGGCGAGTGGGTCTGTGCTGGGAGAGTTGTCCACCGCCGTCCCCCCATTCCCTGCTGGTGGATAAGTGATGGGAAGGGGGGAAAGAACCTTTCCAAGGCAGCAGTAGCGTGGGAGCATCCCTGTTGATGCAGAACATCCCCAGTCTGGAGCTGTGCAAATCAGCCGTACCTGACAGAAAGGAGCTGTTCTGTTTTGACAGATGAGGGTAATCTCACATGCACATCTTAATTGCTTCATTAGGAAGGTGCAAATAAACCCCGGGGCAAAAAGGGCTGTACGTGTGGGGCTGGTGGATGGAGGAGGGAGAGCAGCCAGCCCACCCTGGCTGCAGGGATTGGGAAAGAGCAGCGGGAAGGAAAAGAAGCAGCAGAGCCAAAGTGTCAGTCCCTTGAGTGCTGAGCACCACAGACACAGGAGTTGGCATGGAAAAGGAATGGGGATAAGCAGAGCAGCTTGGATCCTGCTGGCTGCCTCACCTGCAGCTGGATGGGGTGGCTGGCACACTCAGCACATTAAGTGTGGTCCATATCCTTTTGGGATGCTTTCCTGGATGGTTCTGAGGTGACCAGGATGCTCAGTGCCCTGAATGTGGGTCCAGAACCCACTGGGATGTTTTGCTGGATGGTTAGATTATTCAGATACAGAGCTTCTGCCTGCAGGGACTGAGCACTGAGGATGCTGTGCTCCATGAGGAAGGTGATGGTTACGATTCGGAGGAGTTTGAGCAGTCCTGTTGCTGTGCATCACAGGTGGCTGTTCTTTTAGATTGGGGCATTTCTTTCAAATGTGGGCATTATTTTCCAAGTAGCTCCGTGTGCCTGCTCCTACACGACGGAAGCGTGACCAATATAGAATCACAAGGTTGGAAAAGACCTCTGAGATCCCCAAGCTCAACCCCAGCCCACCTTCACCATGCCCACTGACCAAGTGCCACATCTCCAAGGTACTGCAACACTTCCAGGGACAGGAACTCTAACACCTCCCTGTTTATCTTGTGCCAGTGCCTGACCACTCTTTGGAGAAAAACTCCAACCTGAGAGTAGCATCTTGCAGGACCCTTACATGAGAAAATGGGCTTTTTTTCTTTTTTCATGTGGAAGAAGTGAAGGCGTTAGAAGCATTCCCATAAATGCAGCCTTCAAGATGTCATCGTCAGAACATGACTACGTTAGGTGCCCTTCACCTTTTCTCCTTCCTAAGTTTATCTTATGAGTGGGATTTTCTTTGTAACTCCATGAGGTTGGTTCAGGATTCGTATGGGGGAGTCACATGTGTCCTCAGACACTGGGGCTGTGGATGCTGGTTTTGTGCCTGGGATTTCTAAGGACCCCACCCTGTGCTTGGGAGAGGTAGAGGAGGAAGCTGGAGGAAGGCTCTGCTCCCACCCAGCCCAGTTGTCCTTCCCCAGGTGTGGGAACCACAAGGACACTTCTCATCCTGAGTGCCCAAGGGGAAAATTGCCCTCTCTGCAAATGTGTGTAAACAAATTGGCAGGGTTGCTTGTCTTGCTTCCTACCCACCCCCAAACTATCCAGATGAGATAAAATCACCTTCAATTTTCTGGCATCCTGTGAAGTTATTGGCTTTCCTGAGTGCTTCGCTTAACAGAACCACATCACGAGAGGACCAGGAGGGGAAAACAAAGGAAAATGAGCACATTTACACCAGCGCCAGCTGTGCGTTTTTTCAGAAGCACAGCATTGCAGAATCATGAAGGTTGGAAATAACCTCTAAGATCACTAAGTTGAACCTCAGCCCATCCCCACTGACCATGTGTAGGCACAACGGCAGCCCTTTCCAGTTCCTGTTAACGCAGGGAGTCATAGCAGTGTTCCCCCATCTTCCAGTTCCAGTTTGCTTGCTCTCTTGCTGATGATGCCTGAATTGGAGAGGATGGACCAAACGTCTGGGGAGAAGCAAGGATACCTCTGCAAACAATTGTCAGGGTGGTCTGATGTCTTGTTTTTGGTATCTTCTGCACTCAGAGCATGATCTGGCGACTTACAATTAACATAGACTGACATGAAGATGCATTTCTTCGTGTGACAACCTTTTCGTGCTAATTCTTCTTCCAAACAAAAATGAAAATGACCAAGACTGCAGCAGACATTTAATTTCTCTTACTGTTTTCATCATGGAATCCTTAAGGTTGGAGAAGATCTCTAAGGTCCCCAAGCCCAGCCATAGCCCATCCCCACCGTGCTCGCTGACCGTGTTTCATTTTAGGATATCCTAAGAAGGAAGGTGTCTCCTCCTTCCTGGCTCAGGGACTGTTTATGATCATGCACTCACCTTGGAGAACACATCAGATTTGCTTTCGTTTATGGGCAGTTAAAAAAGAGATTTTCTACGGAGCTGGCATAGCTGGTTAACACGGTGAATCCCAGCATGCTGTAATGAATCGATTTGTTTCAGACAACAGCCATAATTAGCACGGAGCTGATGCTCAGGCTGGGGGATGCAAAGCTGCATCTTCAAGTCCTTGGCCTCAGCCTCCAGAACCTGTGGCACCTGGTCCTGTGCCAATGAGTCCAAGGACAGGACTGGAGCAATCACAGCTCCGGGGTGAAGTCAGTCCCCAAAGCATTGTGTGGGTGGGAGGGCACTCCCTGCACAGTCCCGTTTTGGAGGTGTAGGTGCCAACACTCAGCAGTGTGAAGCAATGCAGCATCACCCTTTCCCCACACAGCAGATCCAGTGTGTGCCTGGAAAGATGTTGGCTGTGGGAGGATGTGGAGGAAGCACGATGGGGAGAGGGAATTGTTGCACAAAGTTCCTGGGGGAAGGGTGTGCAAGAGGAACATGCGGTGGTTATGAAAGGTGGAGAGGGTGGGGACAGAGGAGGAAGGAGACAGAGGAAGTAAGGGAGAGGGAAGCAGAATTAAATCCCAGAGGATGTGGAAGGGTTTAAAGGTGATGCAGAGACAAAAGTGGAAGCAGGAGGTGTGAGTGGGGCAGTGGGGAGGAAGACACTATGGGGAGGGAGTGTCGTTTGGGTGTTACTGATTGGAAAACCCCAGTTCATGTCCTGCTGTCTGTGTTCTGTCCCATCCTAGGGCACTAAATGAGAATATGGCCAATGGCATTGAAGATCTTATTGGGATCCCCTTCCCTAACCACAGCAGCGAGGTCCTATGTGGTCTAAATGAACAGCGACACGATGGTCTCCTCTGCGATGTCATCCTCATCGTCCAGGACCAGGAGTACCGGACCCATCGCTCTGTCCTTGCTGCCTGCAGCAAGTACTTCAAAAAACTCTTCACTACCGGCACTTTAACTGACCAGCCCTATGTTTACGAGATTGACTTTGTCAAGCCTGAAGCACTTTCTGCCATCCTCGAGTTTGCCTACACCTCAACCCTCACCATCACCACTTCCAACGTCAAGCACATCCTCAGCGCTGCCAAGATGCTGGAGATCCAGTGCATCATTAACGTCTGCCTGGAAATCATGGAGCCCAGCAGAGGGGAGGAGGAGGAAGACGACAAAGAGGACGAAGATGACGACGAAGACGAAGATGAAGATGAGGAGGAAGAAGAGGAGGAGGAGGAAGAAGAAGTGGAAGATTTTGTCAATCAGGAGAACCTTACTGATGGCCAAGAAGTAAGCTGTCACCAAAGTCCTTCCAAGTCTGATCTTACTGAGGAAGCGTTCACCGAAGCACCTAAAGACTTTCCCAATCACTACCCGGCCAACAACTCCTCCGGGCACTTGGGCGTGATAAGAGACTTTTCCATCGAGTCCTTGCTGAGGGAAAACTTGTACCCCAAGGCAAACATCCCAGAAAGGAGGCCAGCCCTCTCTCCTTTTGCCCCTCCCTTCTTCCCCCATCTGTGGAATGGTGATTTTAGCAGCTTTCCCCAACTCGAAGAGCCGCAGATAGACAATGGCCCCTTGGATCTGGTGATCAATAAGAGGAAGATCAAGGAAGAGGAGGAGAAGGAAGAGCTGCCTCCTCCTCCTTTCCCTAATGACTTCTTCAAGGACATGTTTACCAACACCCCAGCAGCTCCCTTAGGGCACATTAAGGCAGAGACCGACTACAGCGCTTATCTCAATTTCCTCAGCGCTACTCAGTTCGCAGGAGTTTTTCCTCCGTGGCCCCTGGAGGAAGAGAGGAAGATAAAGCCCAAGGCATCCCAGCAGTGTCCCATCTGCAACAAAGTCATCATGGGGGCTGGGAAGCTGCCCCGACACATGAGGACCCACACAGGGGAGAAGCCGTATATGTGCAATATCTGTGAGGTCCGCTTTACCAGGTGTGCACCCGGCGTGCTGGGGGGAGAGGGGGGCTGGTTCCGGAGCTGTTTGTCCCTTTTGTCCCCAGAAACATAGCAGAGAGAGCAGGGCCTGGTCCCCGACCCTTTGAGAAAGAGGGAGGGAGAAGAGGGAGAGAAAGAAAATGAACTCACCCATTTCGGTGAGCTGTAGATCATAGCTGCTCACAGGACAAAACTTGAGGAACCAGTGGGATATTTTCAATCTCGTCGTCATTTAGCACAATGGGAAAAGAGGGAGCTGGAAAAAAATGGCAGCTTGTGGTCAGAGAGCCAAGAGAGCTTCATCCCTACCACGCTGGGAGGTGCGTTGAGTGGGAAGGACGCTGAGTGGAGGGAAGTCATTAGTTTGGGTTTGTGCATCATTTGGGTGTTGCTGTAGGCACCAATCAAATTGCACTTGTTTGATCATGACAGTGTCTGTGCTTTCTGAGGCTGGATCAGTCCTAAGATTACATTTTGGTTTGCAAGGGTTGCATTCGTTGCCTCTGCCATCGGCACCTCTGCATCAACCTACATGAAATTGGGTAGCTCACATTGGGTGAGACCAGCCCTAAAGCCAGGCTGCTCACAGAGGGGCACCACTGCACTTCTCTGCACTCAGCAGAGCTTCAGAAGTGAAAAACTGGAGCAGGCTCCAGTAGAGCTATGCCCATGTCATGCTGCATCTTGCTCTGAAAGCCTGGGCACATTTAACTGTGGAGCAGAGACAAATAGATTCCTGGACCTGCTCTTGCTGGGTATAATTAATACCTAATGAGTACAATCTTTACCATAATAATAATAAAGCTTTCTGACAGGGGGATGGTGCTTCAGCTCCTGGCTGTGAGCCCCATTAGGCTGAGCCAGAGGACAATAATACTCACAGTGGGCAAAGCAGAGATGGTGACAATGGCTGGGTCCCTGGGGTGCTTCATGTGCAGCCTCCTCTCTTGACTCTGTGATAACATTTGAGCAGAATTCATGTAGATGATGAGCAAAACTATGTTTCCACACTCCCAAAAATCACAGAATCACAGAATCACAGAATTGTAGGGGCTGGAAGGGACCTCCAGAGATCATAGAGTCCAACCCCCCTGCCAAAGCAGGTTCCCTGGGAAACCTATTTCCCAGGGAAATAATAAGTTTCCATGCTCCTTTCCATCAACATGGCAGCCTCTGCATTACGATGCATTGACACCATTCCCATAATGGGGATAATCTGGAGGCTATAGTGCACAGCTCCCCAAATCTGATAGGAATGACAGCTGTATCGTTGGCTTTGGATCGGGAAACTGAGACACAGAGTGATGTCAGCACTGTGAAAATGTCTAGGAAGGCTCAGAGGAGAGTTTGGGTATCCTGACCTGTGGTCCAAGCAGTGATAGAAGGGCAGGGTCAGTGACATGGAGGAGGAGTACTGTGGGTTGGTTTTCTGGACGAATCTCTCCTGTGCATCCTTTCTGCACTTGTGGAACTGTGCAGGAGCAGAATTATATAGACAGATACAGAAAATGGGGTTTTTGGCTGGGGCTCCCCCAAACTCCCCACTGGATGCAATCACCATCACTTTGTGGGTCTTCACATTCAGGGTCTGCCTCTTCCACTCCCCTCTTGCAGGGCCATCTGCCCTCAGGATTTCACTTAATAGCTCGTTAATTGTTTCAGCAAAGACTGTTCAGGTTCTGGTTTGCTGTGGTGCACTGCTCGAGCCCTATAGAGAACACTGCAAAAAGTTCAGCTTTCCCACCAGGACAGCCCCAGAGGGCTCAAGGAGAAACTATTGCAGACAGAAAGGTTAATGTTATTTGCTCACATTATTCGTGCTGTGACAGCTTGCAGAGCCTTCATCGCTCTCCTAATGCAATTGCACTGAGGATGTTCACACAGAGAGGATGTGTTTCTCCCTCTGCTTTATCCAGCATCCTCCACTGCACCCCACAGCTGCCCCAAATGCAGCACCCAGCTGAGAAGAGCACCCACCGTGGTCACCCTGTATGCAGGATTTACAGCCTTGGCATGCCGTGTGTTTATTAGGAACAGCGATTCTGTGAGGTTAAACATGGCATACGTGGGTTTAAATTCTATTATAGGTGAAGCTGGGAGCTCTGCTTTTCATTACCGTTTTCCAACACTTCCCATTATGTGACCCGGTGTCCATCTGCCTGCAGCTCCACTGAACGTTATCCATTTGGGCTGCAATTTTCTGTGCTGCTTTGTCTGCTTGTGAGAACTGATTTCAGCACTTTGGGAGACTGAGGGGAAATACGGCTTCACTAAGATCTCAGAATAATGGCATCTTAAACAGTTTCTCATCTGGCTCTTGGGTTCTGGCCCAAGGAGGCACTTCCTTCTGCCTTCCAAAGTGCTGCACGAGCTGCAAACCTTGGGAAAGCATTGGGGCTGCTCCTTACAGGTGGTGACCAAGTGGCTCTGTTGCCAGGGACACCTCTTTGCATCCTTCATGGAGTCCTGTATCTCTGCCTAGAGGCTTTCAGGCCCCTTTAGGTGAGACTTTGGTGCCTGCAGAACCCACGGAGCCCTGCCTAGGGTAGTCCCAGATGTGATGTATGGGGCCATGGACTCAGGTTGCGCTTCCATTGCCCTCCTTCATCCATCCCCACCACCCAGGTGACCTCTGCAGCACCACTGAGGCAAGCAGAAGCAGATGTGCATCCCAGCAGATGAGCAGAGCTCCAAGACCATGGGCTCTATGTCCCCTAGGCACAGCTGGGTGAAAGACACAAGCATGGCTACAAGTACTGGGTCAGCTCTGTCCTGTGCATGGAGCAGCATCAGCTTGCATGTAGACGCCAGCACTGAATCGTCTCGCCAAACATAGCAGAATGGCAGGAATCAGTATGTAGGCAGCAGAATGTGGGTTCTGAGAGCTCAGCCTGCCAGCATCAATATATTTGGGCTTGTTTTTTCCTCTGCTGTCATCCTTATATCCTTTATGTACTGATGACATTACTCCCATCTAGTCTCCCGATGTCTTGGAGGGATTGAACTGAAAGCATTCCCAAAATCAATGGAATTCTCCCACATTTACTTCCCATGTAGAAACCCCTCTCGTGTGTTGTGGCTCAGTTCACGTGAAGCCAGCTTCTCTTATTACAGCTGTGTTCCTCAGCTGTAAGTTTTGCAGTGTGCAGAAGGAAAAACCACAAAATAAAGAATAAGTAAATAAATAAATAGCTTCTGGGCTGCCAGCTTGGGAAAATATTCTGGTAGCTCTCCGTTGTTGCTTGCCACCTTAAAAATCAGGTGAGCTGTATAGATGGATGCCATGGGGATGAGTGCTGCACCATCCCCTGCGTCTAAACCTTTTGTGAGCAGGTGCCATCGGTGCTGCCAGCCTCCAGCTGCAAACCCGGGCTGCGGAGACACCTAGCGGCCAGATGTGGTCATCTACGCGTGGAATTTATTCCGGATAGTTTCTGTGCGTGCGTTGAAGCATCTGCCAGGAAAAGTGTCGGATCCTACATTCCCGGAGGCACCCAAGTTTGTTCCAGACGGGGCTGATGGAGCTGTGGGTGTTATGGTTCACTGCAGGGCAGTGGGATCGGGTGGCCTTTAAAGGTCCTTTCCAACACCGTGACCCTAAGGTTCTGTGACTTTAACGATCATTCATGGAAAGGTTGGCTTGGGAAGGCCATTAACGATTCCTTAGAAGCATAACACCAGAGAAATGCTTTGGGTTGAAGGGACCTTGTCGCTGTTCATTGCAGGGAGTCGGATGCGATGACCTTTAAGGGCCCCTTCCAACTCAAGCAATTCTATGCTTCTACAATTTTTTGCCATTTGTTCAGGGTGGGTTTGTGGGATTTTTCCCAACCTGAGCCATTTTGGGTTGGTCCACAGAACGCCGCAGTGCAGGAATGAAGCTGAATTCTATTCTTTTGCAGGCAGGACAAGCTCAAAATCCACATGCGGAAGCACACGGGAGAGCGGCCCTACCTGTGCATCCACTGCAATGCCAAATTCGTCCACAACTACGACCTGAAGAACCACATGCGCATCCACACGGGCGTCCGGCCCTACCAGTGTGAGTTCTGCTACAAGAGCTTCACCCGCTCCGATCACCTCCACCGCCACGTCAAGCGGCAGAGCTGCCGGATGGCGCGGCCGCGCCGGGGCCGCAAGCCGGCAGCATGGCGGGCAGCCGGTTTGCTCTTCGGTCCCAGCGGCCCACCGGTGGAGAAGGCCTTCATGGTGCCGCCGGCTATGGAGGAAGTCGGCGGCCTTCCCATGTGCCTTCCCGGCCCCAGCCCCGAGCACTTTCTGAGCGGGACGAAGGCGGCCTTCAGCCTGCAGGAGCTGGAGGACACCCAGAGGAAGCTGCTGCGGCGAGCACAGCTGGACATGGAGCGGAACGCGGGCATCTTCGCCTTCGCCCTCGGCCACGGCGACAACCTGGCGGCCCAACCCTTCTTCCCGCTGGCCGACCCGTGGGGCACGGGGTTCAATGGCCTGGCGGGGCTGGGCCACGTGGCGCCCATCTCTGAGGCCACCAACTAGCCCGCGCTGGGGCCGCTGCCTTCCTCCCCGCCAGGCTCCGCCGTGTGCTCGGGGTTGGGTCACCCGATGTCGGTGGCCCCGTCCAAGGCTGCTGTTGTCCTCAACGCTCCCAAAATGTCACTTGCCTTAGCATGGGGCATGGCCATCCCAGGGACTCTCTGCCTGGGGGACACTGGGCACCCATGAGCTGTCCAGACTTGGGTTTGGTATGTTACATTCCTTGGCCGTTAGGGTCAAAAGGACTTTTGGGAGTTGGTTGGTTTTTTTTGTTGTTGTTATTGTTCATGTTGTTTTGTTTGTTTGGTTTTTTTTTT